GAAAGCGCGCAAGATGCTAGCCAGGCCGTAGGATTCCTCACTTAGACGGGTTGCACTGTGGTGAGGATTTGGGGGGCCAGAATCGCTGGTACCCAAATCCTTGTAGAACTACTAATTAGATAATGACTTTTCTCAATCTAGCCGCAAACCCAAATCTAGGTACCAAGGCCTATCTTAAGTTGAAAGACTTGGGTCATCGGCAAGGTCCTCGCGCAAGGCTTTCCCAGAAACGTAAGTCTTGCTCGCACCCTCTCAGAGCAAGTCGAGTATGATTTCGTCCTGAAATGCTCAGGATGCTCAGGGGAACCTTCAGACACAGAGAGCAAAGGGGCTTGATGATTGGGGTTTCAAAGGTGTAGTCTTGAGGGGCTTGTGGCTGCAGTGCAGCCGTTTGAGTTAAACTAAGCCGTAAACGCCCTTAACCCTGCACTCCTGAACCCCCACATCCTAACGAAGGGGGGCTTGCAGTGCTTGAGGGAGCAGTGCATCATTCCCATCCGCAACACCTGGAGCGGATCCTTACAAGTTCTACAACAACTAGACTGGTGTAATGCTTAGTGTCCGAACTGGAGTGGCATATCTAACACCCTCTACTTACTCAGTTTGCTTGCACAGGATCCTCCGACCCGATACCAACACGGTGTTTGCACGATTTTCCCTGGACCCTGCTCTTTCTCCTAACCCTAAACCCTAAACCCATTGCACTTAAAAACTAAACCCTGAACCCTCACCTATACCCCAAGCCAACAGCCTTCAAGCTGCAACCCGAAGCCCTTGAGAGCCTTAAGCACTACGGTTGATGAAATAAATCCTGCATTAACCATAAGAAGGAATATACCATAACTCCTATAGTTTAGGGTCCTTAAGGTCATGCAGGATATATATCATCAACCATAGCCTACATAAAACTTGTAGTCTTCATCCTTAAACCTTGAACTTCCCCAGGCATGAATCCCCACGCCATAGAAGGAGCTCGGAACTTCAAAAGCATGGCCAAAATCACTGTCCCTGTGTATTATGTGTATTGGTACGGCAATATTCCAAACATGCTTTTCCGATCGATCAACCTATTCTGTAGTTTAAACCTAAACCCTAAACCTTGAAAAAACTTCCTGAACCATCCTTCTGAGGCGCTCCTGCACTTGCAGAAAGACGCGGATCAGTCGGCACCGGCGCAGGCCGTTTAGCGCTTCAGTACTGGTAAGGGTTTGGGGTTTAGGGTTTGGGAGGTGTGGGGTTTGCGGCTAAAAGGTCGGGGGGGGGTCTACGGTTCAGGGTTTGCCTGTCACTCAGCAAGTAAACAGTTAGACTAGGGTTTGGGGGAGTTTAAGTTGCAAGTATATAAACAATCTCTCTCGAAGGTGTAGTTGTCAATTACACAGGCCACCCCGTTGCCGATGCTCTCTAAGTGTTGTATTGCAGACTTGGAACTTGGCTCCAGGGCATGTGATCCTTAGAGCTTGCTTCAAGCTTCTCGCATCATGTTCATCACGTTCAGGGTTCTTGGAGCAGCAACAGAGTCTTAGATAGTGAACAGGGGAACTTTGAACTTTTTGGCCTTATAAACTATTTCTATTCTAGAAAGTTTGATCTTTTTGGGGCCCGGTTGTTGACCCTCGCGAGACAATGACCACCAGCTTGCATGTGATTGGTGTTCGCAGTCCTGCACCTAACATTTCATGTCGGCTAGCGGCTACCCAGAGGCCCCATAGTAGTTCCTTTTTGGGATTACCTCATAAGATTCTAAATATGAACCCCAAAAAGCAACTACTTTGGGGCCTTAGGGTAGCCAGTTGATTATTCCTTGCAGTGGCCATGGGCTCCTCAACTGTAGCAAGCACCGAAGATCCGATGTCGCGAGATTTAAGTCACAGGCCTTTAAAGGTTTTGAGGGTTAAGGGGGTCGGGGCTTACGATTTGGGGCTAACTGGCTTAACGTTTGAGGAGGGGGTTCTCGTGGACAGTCACCCAGTCACGCTGAAGCCGAAATCCAAACCCTAAACACTAAGCCCAAGACGGACAGCTGAATCTTGCGCGGCTTGACCAGCGGAAGCCTTGGTTTCTCCCCTGAGCACTAGAAGTACAGGTTGACTCGTCATGATTTAGAATCACAATTGCAACTATGATTACGATGGACCTCCAACCCTTAGATTTTTATCTGTATCAGTTTATTTCTGTCTGCCAGGTCCGTTCTGTACGAAATAAAACTATGAAGCAAGCAAAAAACTATCAAACAAGCAGACCGAGCACGCTGTGTTGCGTTTAGAAATCTGCCGCTGTTCACCGCCGGAGTTTCTTCATTGATCACGCTTTATATGAAGTTCGCATTCAGGGTTGAGGGTTGGGGCTAGGCCCTTTTGTTCCGGTACCTACGCACTCCCATCAATTTGATGATCTTTGGCTAAGGCAACTAGGCAAGCAACAGAGGAACTTCTGGGTCTAGGTGCACTTTCGTTGCATGAGCATCAACCCAAACATTCAATATCGCGCAGTTATCTTAAGTTAGTTAAGTCATCTATTTGTGCAAACCTTTCACCCCGATACCAACCCGACCCCCATAAACATCCCCCAGCAAAACTCACAGTGTAGCCCATAAGCTCCATTGGGATCCTAATCCCATGTGCAGCACGAAGTGGCCCGCTTTCTTGTCGAGTCCAAGATCCATTGCGTTTTGCTGGGTATCTTGTCTGGCTTGGTGGTATTTCTGTTGAGAGCATGTCAGATTTCCGTTTAGATAGCTGCAGCTGCCTCAAACAGGGTCTTGATTTTGAACGGTCATCCCTTTGGCATGTTGCGCAGGACTGCACTGACCTGTACAGCTTGCGGGCCACGTCATGACAAAGACAATGTAATCCACTCCTCTGAAGAACTAACGCCGCTATTCTGATCAACGGTTGCAAAAATCTGTGCACAGGGGCGTGCCGGCATAGTTCGTCGTTCCATCGTAGTGTAAATGCCGGCCTCGCCGTGAGCATTCTGCATTCAGCCATGCGAAAATTGCACATGTCGACAATGAACCTGCGAGTTCGTGTGCACTTTTTTGTACTATGCAGGTAATGGCTTGTATGCACATATTCGTATGCACACACCATATACATCTATGCATGTTGCCGCTTCATCTCTTCATGACATGACTGCCAGAAAGCCTGAGACAATAAGCAAAGCCGCACGGAATTGATTCCCAAGAGCTCGGAGCTGTTTTTGGTTCCAGAAGAGCCTTACAGCTGGATTTTGACTTTCATGGTATTCTGTGGTCGTATGGCTTGTCTTGCGCAGAGTTTGGCGTTTGCCATACGAAGTCCGGCTGGTTCTTTCTATGTGACGATGGGGGGGGCAGTCAATATCTCGTGGTACCGATGGCGGTACCCAACAGTGAGCTACACATGTTCAGTATTACTGCTCTGAGTGGGTGCAAAGAGCACGGTATTTTCGAGTTTGCCCAAGAGTTAGTAGGGTCTTTACGATCGAACGTTTCGAAACACATTCTGGGATGTTGGCAACCTTGCCAGTGTGCTCGGCAAATTTCCTGTTCAGTCATGTCATGTGCACAGCCGTTTACATAACGATTCTGCTGCACAAACCTCCATACGGCCCTGTAGCTATGGGAACGGCAAGCCTCACCTGTGCGGAGTCACCAGGAGGGTCTACACGTATCCGACATCTAACAGTAACATTCCAAGACAGCTTAATTGTTAGTCGTGTACGCTGCAACATTCTTCCATGGTTTACAACATCCGTTGCTAAACGCCATCTCGTGGACAGGTTGCAACATCGAGCTCAGAGGCTGTCGGGCAATGAAAAATGCACTGTGCGCTGATTTCGATTGTCCAATTTCTTCTAAGATTCTACAATATGTACTACGCAGTGCATCCAAGGCAACTCAGACGCGACAACCCTAAACCCATATATATCTTATCGGGCCAAGTAGTTTTGGAGCACATTTAGATAGTTCTGAAATGGTTTGGTTTGTAAAGCTTAATACGTTCTAGTCTTACAAGTATGTATTAAGGCAAGGTCCCTTGAGCCCATTTTTCAATCAACTTATATCTCCGATTTTTCACATTGCAGCCCTGGCTTCCTTTCTGCCGCTGATATACCCAATTTCTCCCGGCCGGCGCCACTTCAAGTTCTCCTGAAAACTCAAGTGGGCAAGAGTTTACGCAGTGGGGTTGAGGCTCAGGGCTGCTAAAACGTATTTGCCATTTGAAAGCTGCAGCTATACGAGCAACCTAAAGGCCGTCAGGATTCTGCCTTCGAGGCCCGGCCTCCTACTTTTTTGGTCGACTCTGCCACCGATCAGCGATTTGGGGCCGGCTTCAAGATGGCCGGGGTGCAAAGTTTGACCACCGTGCAGCATTTGGAGGGTTTAGGCAGTGCTGGGTTCTATGTTTAAAATTTCGGCTTTAGGAAGATCACACAAAGCAGCCGGGGCGAAGGAAGGTCGGGGCGCGAGGGAAGTTTCATGCACACCGATATCATAACTTTTTGCCCGGTTCTGTGCTTTGACCATACACCCCCTCTACAGCTAGAGCCTGGTCACGAGCAAAGCAGCCCAGCATCTGCTATGAGAGATAGGGAGTGGGCGAGAATATCTTGAGGAGCTGTGCCTGCAAATGTGGCAATTTGCTTTGGCGCGGACAAAGGATGCACCGCGGGCAAAAGTTTATTGTTTGGGCACGTAATTTGGCACAGCAACGTTTGTGGAATCACCCTAAACCCTAAACCCTATATAAGCCGTCTCCGGCAGGTAAATCGTGTATGCTGTCTGCCGACCTCAGGAGCTTGACCGACTCTCAAGACTGGCAGCTGAATCTCAAGCAAGAGCATTGCACCTTCTTTCTTCCTGCCTACAGTACCATGGTTGCTCAACACATGAAGTCACGACGTATACCATGCCCAAGCCAGGTACAACTTGATAGAACCCTTCGAAGCCCGGTATGCGACTGCATAACATCCTGTCAGCCTTGGCGCCGCAACTGTGAGCGCCGTTCTGCTTAGCCATGGGGGTGGATGCTTCGCGACTCCTTGCAGCATGCCCATGTGCGTTGCGAGATCGATCTGCAGCTCGCCAGGCGTTTCTTTGTGGTTGCATCCGATGCGTGTTGGATTTAGCATTTAGCATGTATTCGGGTTTGTCAGCAGTTTCGCTTTGAAAAGGCAACAAGCCAGACAGCAGTTTGCTACATACACAGTGCTGCGAACATCTGAGTGTGCAGGTCGTCATGTTAGTTCTTGCACACATCTAGCGCTAAAGGCACGGCTTCATCTAAGCCCTATTTTGGGAAACCGATACCTTTAAGAGATCAACTTGACAAACAAAAGAAGGTCCAAGAAACAGTATGGCGAATATACTTGGACCCAAGTGTCTGTTACGAACCTACCATATCTGTACTTGGTCCCTTTGGGTGGGGGCTGGGGGGTGGGGTTCGGTACTTGGCCGTACTTGGCTCACTGACAACTTGTCGACGTGTGCCAGTGAAATAATTCGAGCGAATTCGTTTGCCTGTACATCATTGTCATGCCTTTCGCATGCTGGAGCCCTGAACCGGGTTCCGGTTTTGCGCCCTGGGTTTTTGAGAGCGGTAACGGTTTTCCCTAAGTGTCCACGTGCCCAAATAGTAAATACTTTGGCCCCAAGGTACCTATACAGCAAGTACTTTGGGGCTCAAGTGTATACTATGTGGGCACATGGCCCCTTAGGGTTTTGGGTTCAGGAGGTTTCATGTTTATGGGAGCCTGATCATCCAAAGGGAAAAGCTGCAGCTCCTCGAGCCGATGGGGCTCAGAGTGTTTTTGCTTCGTAGACGGTGCACTTTGCAGAGGTCCTGTTCACCAGGATCCTAAAGCTTAGCTTGGCGTTCTTTTGGTTGGCTCTTAGGACTTTAACGTTTGACTTTTAGGAGGGTTTCAGAAGTCAGCCAAGTTATCTAGTTCAACTCTAGGGCGTAGCAGTTTTGGAAATCTAGGCTCTGTTATGTACCGAGTCCTGTGCAGATGCACGTCCGTAGCCGGCTGCATGTGACTCGTGCTCTTTGGCTGAGGATGTTTCGACGGGCGCCTGCAGTAGCACTGCGCCGGTGCTACCAGAGAGGCTGGTTCAGGGTTTTGGGTCTGGCAGCAACTGAACACAGTTTTAAAGCGGCCGTGATGGTACAGCAGGATGAGCATTCAGCACTTCGCAGCGGTGTCGCTTTCGATGTTGGCATTTGGGGGACCATCCCATGCTAGGGCTTACCTCAAGTGGAAATCAGGGCTTCGACGGAGCAGGCGATGAGGAGCGAGAGCCCGTAGTTGGGATGGAGGCCTGGTAGTCTGGATCTACGACTGTGAAAGCTTACTTAGAGGTTCATCTGACTTGGTCAGTAATATAGGGGCCTAAATAATTACCCGTACCAATACTATTTTGGGGACTCCTTCTTACAAGTACAGTATCATGGGTCCCAGAACCCTATTCTAGCTAATAAGGCCCCTATATTCGGTGGAAGTATAAGGAGAATACCAGGAGAATCCGGAAGACCACCCAGAGGCCGAAGAAAGCCACAATAAAATATTAAAATCCTATAAGGGCCTGTGATTAACTACACAATAAGCCTACAGTGTCCATCCTAGAGTATATGAAAACCTACTAAACCGTAGGCTCTGTGCTGTTGCCGCCGTGCACGATACGAAGGCTCCGAGTCTGTGAGCTCTTCGCCGGCATCGGCGGATGGCGACTCCTGGCTGCGTTTACAATAGACACAAGACACCCAATGAATCCTTTAAGCAAAAGTTAAAAGCCTGGATGAGATATCTCATGTTACTTGGAGGGTCGGGGGACGTAGTAGCTAGATATTTTCGAGACTTATAAGTACCATAACCCCAATTAGGATCCCTTTTTGGGTACTTATAACTCTACTTATTACCTACTTACTAAGTCCCCCGACCCTCCAAGTATAGACCCTGACCTGAAATCCTACAGCCCAGCAACAAACTCGAACTAAATACCTACTTACTAAGTCCCCCGACCCTCCAAGTATAGACCCTGACCTGAAATCCTACAGCCCAGCAACAAACTCGAACTAACTGGCAAAGGCTACAGTAAAGGAGGTTCGCTGGCGTTCGTTTGTCATTTCCAGGGTACTTTAAGATTAAGATGCGTGAATTGAGGGCTTCGAGCAGTACGATGGCAGCAGTATATCCAAAGTAAGTAGAGTAGTGGTTGCAGCATGATCCAGACATGCTATACACTTACAAGCCAATCAAGAGATCCTGGGAAACATCGAGTACGTAAAGCGCTCAGTTTAAACGCTTCAGCATGTTCGTGCTGTTGCACCCTGAAAGCCACAAGCCTTCGAACTTGCCCAATCCACCCCCCAACATAGATGGTCTTGCGGCCCCATTATGTTGTTATCGAATCCTGCATAGGTGGACCCTCATTGTATGGACCGTCAACTATAGCTGTCATATGCCTGAACTACACCTCGCGGGGAAGAGCAGCATGAGCCTTTCATACGAATGTCATCTTTGTCTTAGTAGCTGAGTGGATACACTTTACACTTTTTGGGTATTACCCACCATAAAACCAAAAGTGTACACTTTTCGGGGGGGCTTATGAACTCAGCTACTAAGTTGTCCCTGAAACTCATGCTCCTCGGGACAAGGTCCAACACACCTCTCTCCTCTCTCCAAGGAGAGGCCCCAGGAGCGCGCGATAGTAGGGTAGAGCTATGTAGAGCTCATGTTTCTTCAAAGGAAACACACCTTGAAAGCACAGGTCACGCTTACTTCGCCCTGCTGTAACATGTGAAATGTACAGCCACTACCCAAACTCTACAGTCCATCCCCTCACAAAAGAAGCGCTCCAACCCTAAGCCCTAAATTTGACCCTTAATCGCCTTAAGCCTGAGGTCTCTGCGGCAAAAACCCGATGCTCAAGCCTGAGTCCTTAGCTACCTATGAGTCTCCGTTGTGGGTTACCTTCTAGGGTCCTAAGCATAGGTCATTGGGCAAACTCAAACAGGCGCTTCCTAAGTATACCATTGGTTACACCCAAAAAGGAACTTTAGGGCTTAGGGTTTAGGGAACTACAATGGAGACTAATTATAGGTATCCTTCGCAGATCCATTCAAGGACTCGCACTTGAAGCGGCGTTACCCGAGGGCGTAAGCGCCCGTTTCCATCCCTTCGTACCTGGGCACGATTGGTCGGCATGTGGGTAGTTCTCTATATCACGGTCCCTTTCTTCGGTCCCCAAATCGTACAGAACCCCTTTCGACAAGGACCCTGAAAAGGACCCCAATTTAGAGAGCTGCGCTTGTAACTCTCCCTGAAGTCTTGAACTCCAAAAGCAATATCATGTACTTGGTCACTGCCGTTGACGGTCGAGTGTTAGGACTGGGGGGTCATCACCAGGGAATTGGGGCATAGAGCTTTCACGGTCTGTTTCATTGAATGATGTAGATTGCTGCCCGTCTGGGGCTGGTGAGGCTTGGGATGCCCCGCCCTTGTAACCTGCGACCAGCAAAACTTCCAGAAAGGTGCAGCATTACGGTTCAGATCGCAAAGGGGGAAATACCTCTAGCAACATGACAGAACAAGAAGCTAGACTTGAGCCAGCAGATGTTGACTCCTATCGAAGGTCTCCACTGTGCCTGCAGCATAGACTCCCCGTGAAAACATTACATGTTGTGTTTGTCAAAGAGAAATCGAACGGGGAGTCAACGTGGAGCATAGCAGTAAAGAGGAGATGACGACGCAGAGCCTGAGAAGGAGAGAAGGAGTGATTGAAAGACGGTGTGAAGTGAGGGAGAGGGAGAGAGAGAGAGAGAGAGAGAGAGAGAGAGAGAGAGAGAGATAAAATTATGTTGGTGAAACAAGATAACACGGAGGGAGGGAGAGCGAGAGAGAGCGACAGAGAGCGAGAGAGAGAGAGAGACAGAGAGAGAGAGAGAGTGTGTGTGTGTGTGTGTGCGCGTGTATGCGAGGTGTTTGTGTAGGGTTGTAATACAGCGTTCGGAAGAACAGTAAGTATCAGAATCCCGTTTCAATGTCCCCAGTCACGCTGCTACAACCAACATCCACAATCGTCACAACCCTGCTATTAGATACGCTAGCTTCGATGTGGGGTGGCATAGGAATGATTGTCATTTAGAACGTGAAGGACTGGCCTGCAGGATTGCGGCACCTTAAACCGCCTTACGTATTGTGTTTGGGGGGTTGTTTAGGGCTCAGGGAACATCTAAACATATATATATATATACACATAATGATAATATGTATATATATACACACACTATCTACCTATCTATATATCTATCTATCTATCTATCTATCTATCTCTCTATCTATCTTGGCTCGTAGATACTTTGGTAGGCAGTCCTCTCAAGTAACCTTTTGCCCGCGGTTGGGACCGTAGATTGCGTAACTAGTAGCTTCAAACCCCAAGTATATCGGAGACGATGCTTCCAAGGAATTGGTACATTACCTTCGTGTAAAGTGCTTGGAAACTCTTACAAGTATGTATCTGCAAATCAATTCGAAGAGCCCCACACATTGACCCATAGATTCCAGTTTCCAAGGACAGTGGGCCGCACTGCAGCGAGGTCTACTCCCGGAACTTTGGTCAGCCTGCTTTGACTGATGGAAATGTAGGTTGTACGGTTGGTGGGGCGGGATTGTCGCGTGGGGTCTGGGGCGTTGAGAGTTAAACTGTTTACCCTTTCTAAGATGAAGTCGCTTGGAGTGCTGGCTCGATGGATCGCCAACTAGCTAGCCAGCTAGCTATAGCCAGCCATTCAGCAGCCAGCCGGCGCGTCAGCCAGCCTGCCAGCCAGCTAGCGAGCTAGTATACAGATCTGCCTACTCATGCAGGTGTATATCTGCTTGTACATTCATGCACACAAAGAACTACATGAACTCGTGTAATTTTATGTCTTTGCGGGCATGCATTCATGGATCGGTGTCGGGAGGGACATACGAGCATTTGCAGATATAACATATATGTATACAACTATGTGTATATATGTGCATATATATATATATATATATATATATATACATATATAATCATATATATATATATATATATATGAATGCATGAACGTGTGCGAACATGCATGTTTCCAACCTACAAGAACGTGCATATCAAAGTATGCATTCTGAAGGTGTGCAATTGTACAACTGTGTACGCATAATATGTAAACGACACCCTCTAGTTCAAAACTCCGGTGCTTCCATTGCAGCCCGCATACCCAGCCCATAAAACCCAGTACCCCTGCATGGAGGACTTTTCCTCGAAGTGTTTGGGTATTACGGTGTACACTTTACATTTTTTTGGATAATGTTACCCACTATAAAATTGAAACTGTACACTTCTTGGGGCTTATGAACTCAGCAACTATGTTACGTTGCTTGAATAGGGAGTATTGGTCTCTCCGGGTAATATAGGGACCCAGGTGATTACCGGAGTGTAGTTTGGTTACAGCTACGGCATGATATTCCCCGAAACCATATTCTAGGTATGGAAGGCCCCTATTTTACCCAGAGCTTACAAAGCCCCCTTAATTAAGGAATCTACTGAAAAAACTAGTAGGATCCCAAATCTGATTTGAGGAACATTCCTTAAAGATGGGGTTTCAGAAGATCTGGGGGGGTATACCCAGGCGAAGCCTGGGAATCCCTTATAGAGCCCTTCTAGGACCCTTAAAGGACCATTTAAAGGAATCCTATTCTAATTATTAAGAGCCCTGTATATATGTATACATATACATATACATATACATATACATATACATATACATATTCATATTCATATACACATATATACATACATACATTTATATGTATATATACATATATATATATGTATATATGCCCAGGCGAAGCCTGCTGCCGGCGAAACATCGAGCAACTGACATCGAAGGACCTGGAGGACTTTGATGCCGCGAGGCTGCAGCCCATCGTGAGGCAAGGGGATATGATCACTGCTTATCAGTTTGGGGCTTTAGGGTGTAGGGTCCAGGGTATATATGATCCCTACTTATTCGGGATTGCATAAGCTAGACTTTTGAGTTTATCTACAAGGTTTAGGAATTCGTAGCTCGCCATGCAGTTAACTTCGACTGGGCACCCACGGAGCTTCTTGCCGGACAGTCTTTAAGGTAGAAGCCGGAAAGTTGGAATATGATTATCCTAACCCTTCTGTGGTAAATTATAGGGTATCCTACCATGAAACCATATTCCAACTTTCTGGAGTTCCCTGTAATGCTTCGAATCGCAGCAAGCGCCTTCTCGTTGTGAACAAGCTCTGCGCCTTAAACGCAAGGTTTAGGGTTTAGGGGTTTAGGGTTTAGAGTTTGGGGTTTAGACCTTGAACGCGCCCGAGACCTTGAATGCCACCCTGTCCTCAACTGGGTGGTTGTCAAAATTAGGGTACCTTTTTGGGTACCTAGATAAGAGGTGCCGTATTATATAGGGACCCAGAAAGGGACCATAATTTTGACAACTACCCAACTGAAGGTTTGGCTGATGTCTCCTCCATGCCAGCCTTTTTCGACCACTCGGGAGGTGCTTCGAAGGGATGGTGTCCTCATGACCTGTGTGTTCACGTTTGATGGCTCACAAGCCCTGCTTGGAGGATCATGGGACAAGTAGGGTTATAAGTACCCTAATTGGGGTTATTCTTGGTTCTTGGGTGTCCCAAAGGGCCCAAGCAATAGTATAGTATATACTTTGGGGGCCCAGATACCTACTAAGTACCTACTACAATGATACTTGGACCCTTTGGGTGTGTGCTCTCTCCAACTGTGCAGTTGTTAGCAGTTGCCTCATGACTAAGGATCCACGTGTCAGAGTTTTTTGGCCTTCAATCACCACATCCTAAAGAGTTTGAGGGTCTGTTTGAACCCATTCGGGCCCTAAACCCTAAACCCTAAACCCTAAACCCCATGAAACCTTCAGCCCCCCAGGCCCGAATCCGTGTGGTGTCGGCAGAAACGGAGCTTAAAAGGACAGTACTTGGAGGGTCGGGGGACTTAGTAAGTAGTTAATAGGCAGAGTTATAAGTACCCTAAAAGGGATCCTAATTGGGGTTATGGTACTTATAAGTCTCTACAATAACTAGCTACTAAGTCCTCCGACCCTCCAAGTATAAACCAAAACCATAAACCAAAACCTGTTTGAACCGACATATTTCGAATCCGACAGCCCAACAGTCGCCACGTCCAAAGAGCCCACACGATCAAGCTCAGATCCTGTGCCGAAACCGCCCAGCAAGCCCGCTGCATGAAGGGTATGCGACGGATTTAGGGTTGAGGCTTTAGGCTTGCTAAGTGCATTATTGCTTGTACCTGGGTTTCTCAACACCCAAAGTCTGTTTATGATGTACCCTCGCTCAAGCATTGGCTAAAGCTTCAGAATCTAAAACCTGAAACCTCCCATAAACAGACAAGCCAAACGGTTCAAACACCCTAATCGCTACAGGGGTAGTTGTCAAGATTATGGTCCCCTTGTGGGTACCCTAATAGTAGGTGCCGTATCCTATGAAGGACCCAAAATGGGACCATAATTTTGACAACCACCCATATAAACCCTGGTCCAAACTTGATACCAGCCGTGTCCTTTTTCATGGTTCCCCCAAAAGAATAAACAGACCGGCTAGTAGACCTTAATTCCTACTAAGGGATATAGGTATAGGGCCCTGTCTATTATTTCTAAAACCCTAAACCCTAAACCCTACATCCTACATCCTAAACCCGAAACCCTAAACCCTAAACCCTAAACCCAAATCCCCCGGAGCGCGAAGCTGATGAGAGGCCAAACAGCGAGATCTGGGTGACAAGCGCTGTGCTGCGCTGGCAACTTCGAAGAACCCAGAGATTCCAAAACCCCTTAATTAAGGAATATACCTTAAATTATAGTAGGATCCCTAATATGATTTGAGGAATATTCCTTAATTCAGGGGTTTTGGAAGCTCTGGGAAAATGCCCAGGGTTTAGGGTTTAGAGCCTAGGGCTTACCTGGACTCGCATAAAATACCCTACCTTTTTCGGGGCAGTTTTGAGGACAATATAATGATATCCTAAAGGAGCCCTGAAAAGGTGGGTTCTTGAGGGTTGTAAGGGTTTGGGCTTATTGGCCTAAGGCTCCAAAGCGCTCTGATCTTTAAGGCTTTATGGCCGGCGCAGCCAACGACCATGCTATGTAAGGTGTTATGTGTGTGTGTGTATGTTGAGTCTTACAGTTAATGTTAGCCGAAGCACTGTTTGGTTTCCGTTTCTGGTGTGCCGGTAGCCAGACATTTCTGGAATTGACCAAGCGAGGCCTTTGAACAGCACATGAACCTCTCAGCCTCTGCGTGTCTCAGATATTGGAGCTCTTAAACAAAATGTAACCATCAACAAACCACGACATACCTTCATAGGAGGCCAAAAGGGGTTCTAGCCTACGCATGGGGGTTTAGTAGGGATTAGGGTTCCAACAATATGGTTCATATTAAGGAATCCCTACCCCAAGACTCTTAAACCCCCTTTTGGCCTCCCATCATACCTGACAACTGGCTCAGCCAACTCCCGAACTTTACATAGAACGGTTCCTTGCAGAGCCCATACAGTAAGAGTTTAGGGTTTAGGGGTTTAAGGTTTAGGTTTAAAGGGTTTAGGGTTTAGGCCCATGTACGCCCTGACTGCCTTGGGCTTGAAATCTGAAACTATAAAGTTGCCGCTGCCGCAAGACGCGTGCCCCAGGACAGTCCCACAACACGCTTACGCAGCATCCAAGAAAGCACAAACAGCAAAACTTTTAAACCTCTTTGACGGAGCATACTTCATAAAACCTAAACCCCTAAACCCGAAACACGAATCCCCAAACCCTTAAATCCTAAACTTTCAAAACCCCTAAACCCCGAAATCCTCAACCCTTCGAAGCTCAGGACCACCTTTGCAAGCTACTCCCACTTCTCCGGCATCCTCCACGGTGGATTGCCTTGGAGAACGCAACTGGGCTCGGCGTTGTTTACGGCGTAAAGGGATCCTAGGCATCGGTTTTGGATAATTTGTAACTTGTTTTTTGTTTCATATAGAGCCCTAATTATGTTTTTTTGGGGACTGTTCATGTCGACACGTAGGATCAGTTTATAGGTTGCCAGGAAAGGGGGCTCGCGAAAGCTTTACAAGGGTTCAGCAAGGGTTCTTGGTTTGAGGATTTAGGGCTTAAAGTGGTTGAGTTATAGTATCCTTATGGGAGGGGGCTCCAAGGGGGGTAGGTAACCTACTGATCCCTAGTTCTCTCCAGTGCTCCCTAAGGCTCCCTTCAGGTTCCTTAAGGATCCCTTGTACCCTCCCCCCTTGAACCACCCTCCCTTAAGGACCCTATATATAATTGAGGGGTTTAGGTATGAGGCGAGAATGGATTTAGGGCTGCCAGGTCTCTGGGTTTGGGGCTGTGGGGATTGGGGAGTCCCACGGGAGTCTCACAGCTTCGAGGGCTCAGAGCTTAGGGTTCTAGGGTCCTGAGGTTAAGGATGTGCAGTGTTCAGATTTGCAAGGCTGAGGGTCTGTTGGGATGCAGCGCAGGGGTCTTTGGGGCTGCAAGGTGTGCATGTATGTATGTATTATGTGTGTGTATATATATATATATATATATCCCCAAGGGTCCAAAGGACCCAATAATCAGGTACTCGGTTTGAAGATAGTAGTTATGTAGGTTAGGATTTTGGAGAGTATATGATTATCATGTACTTGGACCCTTGGGGTGTGGTGTATGACTACATATGTAGAAGCTTCTTTGACTGCAGATCCTCCAGGTGAAAGGCTTTCACGGTAGCGACGCCTGCGCAAAGTGGCGAGCGGCACTGCAGCAGGCGATACTGTTTGGGATTCAGGGTTTGAGGGTCTAATGAGGGTGAGGAAACAACTACCTCTGGTTTATGGGCTTCTGGCTTGGGGTCCCAAAACTTCATGATAAGAATTTCGGTGTGTGGGGGGTAAAGGATTCGTGGACTACGGCTTGGGCTCGCAGCCGGTTTTGCTTGCAATGTATGACGAATCCTTCAGCACATCTATTCATGCGCAGAGCCTCAGGGCCTTTGCGACTCTGGGTTCACGGTTGAAACTTGAGGGTATATCGATACCATCTAATTAGAAGCCGTCAAACTTGTGTCGTGAAGATGGCTTAAAATATCAAGCCATGAGTCATGAGCACACCACTGAGCATTACAAATGCATGGAAATGCCACTGCAACCTCACTCGCTGGCACATACACATAGGCATGTATGCATGCATGCACGCATACTGACGCTCACCAACACACACACACAGAGACTCACCCACACACCCACGCACCCGCACACCCGCAACACGCATGCACGCTCCCACGCACACCCCCACACAGATGCACAAGGCTGGCTTCCGTGATCGCGAGATCATCCTGGATTTGAGCAGAGCCTCAGCCTGACATTGATCGTCGAAGATCGGTTGAAGAGTAATTACAGGGACTCTGGGTTTAGGCTGCAATTCTTATGACCACGGCCTTCTGAATTATGAGTTGAAGACCAGAACAAGCAGAGGATCACTTCTTTGCTCAATAGTTAAGACTTGTGAAGGGTTTAGGCTTATACTTAAAGGATCATGGGACTTAGTAACTAGGGCTATAGTTAGGGTAACTATACTTATCATTACTTATAACCCCAATTAGGGTACTTATAACCCTAGTTACTAAGTCCCATGATCCTCCAAGTAGGGTTCTTCGTCAGGAGAGGCCCTTCATGATTTTTTCGATACATTCAGGCGGGTGTCTGATGTGAATATAGAAGCCTGGTCACTTAGTATCATAAGGACCCTTACGGGGGCTAGGGGGGAGGCGGATAAGGGGCCTTAATACCTCTAATAAGAATTTAAACAGACCTATTTTTGGAAGTATAGTCACCTACCCCCCGAAGGGTCCCTGTGATACTAATGCTTTTCTTAGGATTGTTGAGTTTGACTTGAGTGGAACATACCCCCAACACCCAGTTCTTTTTAATCAAGTTAAGGCCGGCACACTAGGGTTTCTAGGGCTTGTTGTCGTGTTCACCGGTACTTACCAGTCCGACTACATTACCGGCAAGGCAGATGTATCTATGACCGGTAGTGAGTTATGAGCTTAGACTTGTACGTGGAGATGTACCGCGTGCTTTCAGTAGTTTTATGAAACTAGGGCTTTGCGGGTTGCAGATGTACGGGCTTAGGGCTCAGGGATGGCGGATTTTTGGGGGCCCGTGTACCGGGTACTTCTGTAGAAGGACGCGATCCTGTCAGGCAGCCCCAACTGCATGTCGTAAGATTCAACTTGAGGTGCTTCGCCCACTATTTCGACCCATCTTGCCCTTAAACGGCCTTAAACCCTAAATCCTAAACCCTAAACCCCTAAACCCTAAACCCTAAATCTGCCGCCAATGCCAGAACTAATTTAGGCTCTGTGGTCTGGAGGCTCCATCGGTCTTGCTCTTGCTTCAAACCAACCCGTACTTGCAGTAGGTAGTGTCTGCCACACAGATGCTGTCATTAAGATTTTCGCTGGGGTTCCCAGAGGGTCCAAGTATCATTATGGTATATACTTATAGGGTATTTTGGGGGTCTAAGTATATATATATATATATACCATAATGTTACTTGGACCCTTTGGGGTTCAGGCAATCCTTCAGCGTTCGGGGGCTGTCGGGGAGTTCTTGAACCTGAACCTTGACTCAAAGCCTGAGGCTCTAAGGACTCATATTTTTAAGGCTTTTGGGCCTAAAGACCATACTATATAAGGCTTTTGGGCCATTTTGAGCCTTAGGGAAAGAGCCTCGTACAATCCTTAAACAGGAGGATCCTTCTTACATGGGCCCCCCGAGAGTGGTTAAAGGGGACAGCTGTTCATCTGTTTTTTTTCCAAATCCTACGTTCAGCCCTAACAAGGGTCCATGTATCCGAATAGTATACAGTTTGGCCTTAAAGAAGTGCCTACATGGCCAGTTTGAGTACATGGACTTCCGGGTCCATGTGCTCATGTAGTCCTGTAGTATGGACTCTGGCCCTAAAGTAGTCCTATATAGGTATATACTCTAAGGCCTTGATGTCTATTACGTGGGCACATGGACCCGTAGGGTTTTGTGCTTTCCACAGGTTTTGGCACACCCAACCACCGCACCCGGCCTCTTGGCAGAGCTGGAACACGTATCTTCAGATGTGCTACCCTAGGGCTCCAGTTACCTAAGTAGTAGGTTATTGGGGGATTATATATATATATATATATATATATATACACACATATGTTATATAATACTCTTATAAGTAACCTACCACTTAGGCGGCTGGAGCCCTAGGGATACTTCGTCTAGCTCCCGGGCAGGCATTGACGTGGGCAGCTAGAAACCTCTCTGTCATCGTAACATAGGGGCTTGAGTTGTTGCAGTGTGGTTCCGTAGCGCTCCTTATTGTACTCCGACTCGTCTGTACCCAAAGATCCTATTCCACTAGTCAAGGCCATGTCCTGTATTTGCCCCACGTACAAGCTCCTACACTTCTTGCAAGTATGTGAGAGTTTTTGAAACTTAGAGGTACTTTATATGGGTCCCCTATATTCGGAAAGTACCATGTAGGTCCTGCCTAAACCCTCAACTTTTCGTGCGGTAACACTACTCTCGACACCTGAACCCATAGTGAGAAAGGCCCTTCCGCAATTCTAATCATTACGGTAATCTGAATCCGAGACTCCACCCAAGACCTTAAACCCAAAACCCCGAAACCCGAAGCCCTGAACCCCTAAATCTTAAACCCGAGACTCCATGAGGTATTATCTCCTGGCTGAGAGGGAGACTACGAACTTGCGCCTTTCAGAGCCAGCAGCTTTTCTGATTGTTTGGGGTTAGGATTCAGGGTTTAGGTTTCAAGCACATCCCATAATCCGCATCCCAAAACCCGTGACCTCTGCCTATCATAGGCCTCACCTCTGGAACATGCAGCCCGACAATATCCGAAACCCTCCCGTGCACGTAGACTGCCACCGTTCACACCACGGAGCCTCCTTGCGGCTCTGAGGGTTCGCAGCGCAGCTACAACTACCATTTGTTGCTAAGCTTCCGCCGAATTTTGGACATGGCCCATACCTGTCAATATCAACTCAAGTCTACAATCAAATCCCAGCCCCACGCCCTCTTGAATCGGAATCCTCTACCAGCCAGCAAGGCCAGTGCACCACGACTCGCAGCGGCGATGCCACCGGGCGCAGTGGCTCGAGGTGAGGTGACCAAGACAACCTTCAAACCCGAGACCTCAAAGCCCTGACTTAACCTCGTCGAATTTGCTGACCCACAATCAAGCTAAACCCCCAAAACCGTGAGCCTTAACCCCAAGCTCTTCACGGGGAACTCCAGAAAGTTGGAATATGGATTAATGGTAGGACCCCCTATAATTTACCTTAAAGGGGTTACGATAATGATATTCCAACTTTCTGGCTTCTACCGTAAGCGCCACGCTACTTAAAGCACACCCCTAAGCCCCTAAACCCGAACTGCGTTGAACCGTACTTGCCCTTGGTCTGACCCTAAACCCTAAACCCTAAACCCTAACCCTAAACCCTAAACCAGAAAACCCTAAACCCTAAGCCCCTAAACCCTAAACCCTAAACTTAAAGCGAACAGCACGACCAGGCCCTTGGGCATGCGCGCGGCGCATTGCACTGGCCGCTGTGGCCGCCTTTACCCCCAGAGAGCCCAATACCCCTCAAGTAAGGAATATACCTATAGGGTTCCTTTAAAAGGGGTCTAAAAGGGATCTATAAGGGATCTATAGGGATAAGGGTTTCCGATACCCCTTAATTAAGGAATATAGCCCCTTATAATTGAAGCTAGATTCCTTAAGTAAGGGGTATTGGGCTCTCTGGGTAGTTCTTTGTTATAGAGTTTTTCAGGGCTGACAATGGCTGTTAATGGTGGTTTACAACTTCCAAACGCAATTTCAATGTATGCGCCGGCCCCTTTTGGACCATGGAGGTCGGTTTGAGCTCCCCTCGGGGGGGCTGCAAGGTTTTGATGCAGCAACGTGCGCGGGTTTGTGTTCATGCGGACGAAACGAGCAAAGAGGCTGCCGTCAACATGTTTCTAGCAGATGCCGTAGTCTCTCGAACCTAACCCCAAGGGTCCAAGTACATGATAATCATATACTCTCCAAAATCCTAACCTACATAACTACTATCTTCAAACCGAGCTACCTGATTATTGGGTCCTTTGGACCCTTGGGGTAAGCAGTAAACCCCAAACCCTTGCAGCCCGAAACCCTTCAAAGCAGAGCACCTTTACGGCAGCCCGACAGTCGATACCTTAGGGACCCAAAAAGCACAGAAGCATAAGCATTTTATGGGGATATCCCTACCTCATTGGGCTTCATTATAAGGGGATTTATGTGGGATATCCCTACCCTAATTTTTGCTTATGTGCTTTTTTGGGGCCCTATCTACCCTGATTGGCGTCTATACCCATGGGCTCCACAGCAGTTCCTTTTTGGGGCTACCTTATAGGATTGTGAATATGGGCCCCAAAAGGAACTATTTATACTATGGAGCCTATAAATAGAGTCTAGATCTTCTGCTTCAAGCTGAAGTTGTGCGGGTTATGCGGGTAGAAGCTTCACGAGGCTGTTACGATTCCCTAAGGGTCCATGTACCCAAGTAGTATATACTTTGGCCCTTCAAGTAGTCCCTATATAGGTACTTTGGGGTTCAATGTATACTCATATGGACACATGGACCTTTCGGGATTCCGGGCTTTTCGTTACGATCTCGCTTGCATCCGCCCTTGAACCTCGCAGGAGGCCCCCCTAAATACCGTTTAGCACATACCCATAGTGGCAATTCCTTTTTGGGGTTACCTTATAGGGTTCTAAATATGAACCCCCAAAAGGAACTACTATGGAGCCTCTAGGTAATATCAAAATATGGGTAGTTGTCAAAATTATGGTCCCTTTTTGGGTCCCTAATATAATACGGCACCTATTATTTAGGGTACCCAAAAAGGGACCGTAATTTTGACAGCCACCCATATACACGGTTCTTTGCGTCTGCAGCGTAGCTGAGGAGGCGGCCCATGCACAGGCGAGACAGTCCCCGCGGCGCGAGGACAAAGAGGTGGAAGCCCTGCTGGATGTGCCAATGAGTCCAATGGGCTTCGGGTTAAGGGGTTTAGGGGTTAGGGTTCAGGGATGTTCAGGGTTAAAGCCAAATTAAACCCAACAATGGGTCACGGTAGTAGGGCATGGTATCTTCATGGAAGCTTGTAACTTTTTGGTTCAGCACTCTGTTTGGAGGATTTCTGCTTGGTGTTAGTAAGGCTTGGAACGTGCAAATGACACAGTTAGCAGGCTTCAATATGGTGTATAGTTAGTTTCGAGGTCCGAGTGTCCACACATAGTAGAATGTCAAGCATCGAAGATGGCTACGTGCACCCGCTACAGAGGCTTTACTTGTACAGGATTCTGAAAACTCGCGTTTCTTTCCGAATCTTGAAGGGCTGTGAGTCTGGTGAAGGCCTTTGGCTTAGGATAAAGCCTTGTATCATGGTGTAGGGGGGCGTTTGGCTCAGGGGTTTAGGGGTGAGGGTTTAGGGGGTTTGGGTTTATTGGGTTTGAGGTCTTTTTCTAGTTCGCTGTTGTGTAATTGCCAGTACACTTAATAAGTCCTCGCGTGTCTTCCTAAGCTATGTTTCGGCATTGAGCGACAGGCATCAACAGTCCAAGCTCTCCTAATGACATCCCAAGGGCCCAGGTGAAAGAGTGAGCTATGACATGAACATGCGATGTTGTTATCCTTCTCAAAGGAAGGGGGGTTGTTGATCAAGGGGTTTACATTCAGTGACGTTTGGGGCGTGGCGTACCGGGTCTCTCTGTGCCTGACTGTCGATTCGGAGATATGTGGCATTTGGGCCTGAACGTAGGACAGAAAGCGCATATTGGAATGAATTCAACATCCCTCAGCCCTTATAGAAGTACCAGACTGCAGAAAAACCCACTGAGCGAACCCCATGGGTCCAAGGTACCCAGTACTGGCTTATCTAGGCAATCTAGACACTCTTGTCCAGATCAGCAGTGTTTGTATGTTAATATTTGCAGAGTACATACGGACGGGTCCGGACAATTCCGAAAACATTCCACCCTGTATCCTTCTGTGAATTCAACTGCATGCCCTTCGACTATCAAGGCCCCTACTGGGACGCAACAATCCGCCCCCGCCCGTTTGCTTCCTGTAGAGTTAAGCTGCACTGCATTATGCGCTTAGGACCCTTCTGCCGCGTACCAAGGCACCCTTATACCCGAGCCTCAAAACCCCGCTCCCTCAACCCTAAGCCGCCTGATTAGACCCAGAATCTCAACCCTTAAAGGCCTCAATCCGCCATAGATGACGGCCTGACGGCCCACACGCCCCGAACCCTAAACCTAAACTCCCAACGCCATGCATAAACCCCCAAGGTCCCAAGCCTGAAACTACTCTTACGGTTGATGGTATAAATCCTACATTACCCAGAACAAGGAATGTACCATATTCCCATAGCTTAGGGTCCTTAAGCTAGTGCAGATTTATATCATCAACAGTAGCCTGTGTGAGGCCATCTTTGCCGATGCCCGCCGAGCCTTCGTCCGCGCGCTCCGTGATCTCCTTCCGTCGGGCGAGCTGCTTTGCACTAAACTTATGTGTTTGGGGGCTTAGGGTTCAGAGATTAGGGGTTTGAGGGCTTAAGGGTTTGGGGCTTTGGTGAGGTTAGGGAATTCATAGGGTGCCTTGAAGGGCAGCTTGCTTATGATAAATTTCTTTAAGCGTGGTTGTCTATCATAGGGTTCCTGTGGGGTTTCTTACAAGGAGTTGTTCTCATATTTTGTGTGAGTTGGTTTTACTGATCCCTTTGAGGAAGGCGGCTTCATTAAGGGTACCTTGCAGGAAGGGGTTCCACTGCCGGGTGCATTTGAGAGCTCCGTTCAGGAGGGTCTTATACTTACCCAGGTTTCCTGCTTATAAGTTTAAGCTTACTTGGAGGGTCGGGGGACTTAGTAAGTAGTTAATAAGTAGAGTTATAAGTACCCTAAAAGGGATCCTAATTGGGGTTATGATACTTATAAGTCTCTAAAACAACTAGTTACTAAGTCCTCCGACCTAAGGACCAGGAGTCCGAGGCAAGGAATCAGGACTCTTGCTTTGCCACGGAGCATACTCTAGGGGCTTAAGTAATTATGAACACTATCTGACGGTTCCTTATCTGTGAGTCAGGTACAATATACCTTATAGAGAGGCCCCTACATTACACAAGAAGGTGATTAGATTGCTGTAGCCTTTGTTTGAGACTCGAGGATGATACAGGGTTTAGTAGGGACTACAAAGGGATGTTACTACCGACTCCGAGTGGTTCGGCCTTTTGTCCCGAATAGGGTTCAGGGTTGCATTCATTCGCTAAGGCGTCCCCGTAGAAACCCCAAGCTCCAAACAGGAATCGAAAGTTTCGACTTTCTCAGAGGTGCGGGATGACCGGTATCGGCGATGGCGTCTCCAGCTTTTGCCTGGTAGGACCGTCTCGGGGTGATGATTTAGGATTTGGGGTTCAGCGTTCAGGGTGTTGTATGTTCGGGCTGGAGGGTTCAGGGGTGTCAAAAAGGATTCGGGGTTCCATGGTTTGGGGTCTACCAAGAGGAGCCCACATAACTTCGGATCAGGAAACACCCTTGAAACCAATGGGTGATTTTATTGGACCTACTACCCCTGAAAGACCTACAGTGAATACATTGTGTAGTGAGCCTTCTGTGACCTCGACGCTGTTGAGGGCTCCTTTTGATGTCCGGATGTCTTCCCGTAGAGAGTTAAGCTAGGACCTAGAGTAGGCCCTCACTCCCGTTTTAGGGTTCAGGTTCCCTATGGTTCCCGTATAAGCCCCTTTAAACATCTTTAAACCAAAAAGGCACCCTTCTTATTCCTAGGTTACTCTTGGGTCTAGTCAGGGTTTCGGGATACTTGAAGGATCATGGGACTTAGTAACTCGTTTTATAATTAGGGTAACTATACTTATTTATAATTACTTATAACCCCAACTAGGGTACTTATAACCTTACATACTAAGCCCCATGATCCTCCAATAAGAGGACCTTCAGCCTACAACCCGAAACGAAAAAGTCAGAAGCACTTCAACCCCTTGTGCACCCCAGATCCCCCCTTAGCTGCGTCGCTGTCCATTAGGCCCTAGTTAAACCACCCGTAGCTGCTTCACCGTTCCTTAGACCCGATTTAAACCGTATTTCCTCAGAACCTAGTTAAACCTCATATGGTACCCATAAGCCAACCACTCACTCTATGGCTCTATGCTGACTAGACTTTTAGTTAGGTTCCTGAGTAATACCCTTTTGCCCTTTTTGTTGGAAAAAGGGTATCCTTGTAAACCCTAAACCCTAAACCCCTAAACCCCTAAACCGGGTTACTCAGGAGCTTCGTGAGGGTCCACACTTCCCAAATCCGACAGGAACGGAGGCTTGGAAGCTCTTGCCTCTGCCGAAGGACGATCCAGAGGCGGCTGTGCTGAGTTTTTTCGGTGGGTTCTAGGATACTTAAGCACTTTTATACATAATATACATGTTTATTCACGTGTGCGATTTTTTTTATGGTTCAGGGGTTGAAAGCTTAGGTGTGTAGGGTCGGCGGGTTAAGAGTTCCGGCTTTTGGACATGAGGGTTGAGTGGTTCGAGTGCCCTGGTTTAGGGGTTCAATGGGTGATTGCTTGGTAGGACGGGCCACGCAAGTCCAAGTATGTATTTACTATATATATATATATATATATCGGTCGTAAAGGTGCTGACCTGTAAACCTTACAAACTTAAAAGGGCCCCGTAGAAGGTGTTCTTGCTGCTGCGGCTCCAAGGCACCCTGTACGGCTCTTGCATGAATTCCAAAACACGTTATTCTAAATGGCTCCTAATCAAGGCTTACGGAAGCAATGCTCGCTCAGGCAGCGTTCTTTGAAGATTACAGCGTGCTCGCTCGATTGCGGCACGCGATGATGGGCCCCGAACGTGCTCGCTCGATACGATCGTGCTGTCCAACCGGAATTGGACCCGAGCGTGCTCGCTCGGGCGACCCTCCTGGCTCAACCCGTGCGTGCTCTCAGACACCGAACCGTGCTACCAGACTCAGATTTCTCGGCAAGGGTGTACCACCCTTGACGCAGCCCAAGAGCGAGCAAGCACCCAAATCCTGTAGACAGGGACCACCAGCCACTAAACCAACAAGATTGGATACGAAGAGCCTAGCGCCACTTAATGCCGAAAGTGCCGTGCGTGCTCGCTCGAGCGTGCTCGTTCGAAATTGTTCGCTGTCGACCATCGCACGCATGGACGCGGCTCCAGCCCAACCTCGCGACCCTTGCCCGGACTCCAGCCCATGTATCAACCCCGGAAGCCGAGCGAGAACGATTCGAGCGAGCACCGTCGAACGAGCTTGAAAACCCCTAAACCCTAAACCCTAAACCCTTTAAACAACTCATAATGCAACTTGCAAGGCGCTTCTGGTCGTCTTTGACACCGATGGCTCGGTAGGGACTCTGGCCACGCAGTTCCTGGAGGACTGACGGGCACCAGACCTACCCTAAGGCCCCCTAGCAGTTCTTTTTTGGGATTTCCTTGTAGGATTCTAAGTATGAACCCCAAAAAGGAACTACTTCGGGGCCTTAGGGTAACTACATAAGGCCTTGGGTTCAGGGTTTTTGGGTGCTTGGCCCTTGGCCTTTCTTTCTCTCTGTAGTTCTTTCCCCCCCCCCCCCCTCTGCCCTCTCCCTCTTGCTCTCAACCTCTCTCTCTCTCTCTCTCTCTCTCGCTCGCTCTCTCTCTATCTCTCTCTCTTTCTTTCTCTATCTCTCTCTCTCTCTCTCTCTTTCTCTCTCTGTCTCTCTCTCTCTCTCTCTCTCTCTCTCTCTCTCTCACCTCTGGGGCCCTGAGTTCAAGTGAAAGCCGGGACCCCAAGACCCGAAAACTTAACGCCCTGCAACTCCAGACTGACTTTACGGTTTCGGCGGGGCTGTGGGCTTAGGATTCAGGGGGATTTAGGGTTTAGGGTTGGGGCGGGGTTCAGGGTTGAGGTGGGGTTTAGGGTCTTAGTAAAAGTCAAAAAGGACTTTGAGTTCTGATCCGAAGCGCTAGCAACCCTGAAGCTTGAACTTTGAGCTTTGACATGAGGATGAATGAAGGTGGGGAAATCCCAAATATTGGCCCGATGATAATTTCGGGTTGAGTCCCCTGATAGCCGCAAGACGTGTGCTGTCTCCAAAAGTTATGCACGGAGTGTGACAAGGCCTTCATGCTGAGAACCTAGGTCATTAAAAGCTGCATGTTGGCAGTTCCATGTTTTGTGGGTTTCCAACAATCCGGGCGATGCACGCATGGTTTTGATTTAGTGGTATAGGTTTTTAGGCATAAAGTACAGGGTACAAAAGCAACTATCAGCCGAAAGCACCCGGAACCTCTCACCTAAATCCTAAACCCGAACCCCCCCACTCTTTAAAAGCTGTAGTTCAGGGTTTGCATCACGCTTTCTGCCGAAGGAGCTTCCAGAAACGTGCACAAGCAGCGCCGAACGCATTTGGTCAGTTCTTGTCCTTTCTGGTTAAAGTGGTTAAGATGAAGCTTCATGGTTTTGATGACCAGTATATGTTCTGGTTATGCATGTTGTCGAGTTTCGTGCATCAACCAAGCTGCTCGAAGCGTGAGAGAAGTCTTCTAGTCAATGGAGACAGAGCCATTGACACGGCATGCATCTTAGAACACAGGGATAGCTTGCAATCAACTGGTTCCATGATGGCTGAGGCTAGGGCACCGAGTAGTATCAAAAAGGTTATGCCTTTTGCCCGCACCAGAACCAGCGCATGATCCAACAGATAGTAGCTTCTATGGGTTTACCATGGGTTCATCTATGAAAACTTAAACACTAAACCCTAAACCCTAAGCCTCGACCGTTAAGCCACGGATCTGGAACCTTGAAGCCCTTAATCTAGGAACCTGATTAAGAAACCTTGGGCCTTTTTGGGGGGCTCCCTATATGAATCCTACTATCTCGGGGGTTAGAGGCCCAGGGTTTCTTATTCAGGTTCCTACATTAATCATACTCCGTGATCTACAAGCCCAAAGCCTGAAGACCTGCCACCCATATCCAGGCCTGGTGTCATGGTCCAGCTGGCCACCAACTGGCGAGCTGGCGCCAAGGATCTTCTTTGCCCTAGCAGCAAAACAGAACCCTACCCATAGGCCCCATACTTCACTTTGGGGCTTCATATGTAGAATCCTAGAAGGTAATCCCAAAAAGGAACTACTATGGGGCCGATGGGTAAGCCCCTCAAACTCGTATTAGCTAAAGCCCTGAACCTTGAGCATTCCATGGTGTCTGTAGTCCCGGTACAACCATGCAGCATATCCCTGAGGGGTCCATGTACTCCCTAGCATAGTAGTCGACATCATAGATAAAGACTTCTTTGGCCCTTAGTATATGCCTGATGAAAACCTCGAAAATCAAGAACCCTAAGCACAAAAACGCGCCGACAACGCTTCTTAAGCATTATTAATAACATTCTAGACTCATTCCCAACTTCGAGAGCCAGGGCATTTAGTAAGTAGTTACTTTATAGGCTTATAGACATATGAGGTATCAGGACACCAGCTAGGATCCCCTTTAGGGTACCCATAGGTCTACTTGTTATCCGAAGAGACGGTGCTCCAGCCTAAACCCTAAATCCCTAAACCCTAAATCCCTTAAAAAACTTAAATCCCTAAACCCTATAAACCCCAAACCCTAAATCCCTAAACCCTATAAACCCCACACCCTAAATCCTAAACCCTAAACCCCTAAACCCTATAAACCCTAAACCCTCCGGCCGCCGGCCCCTGAAGGAGTGTCCGGTGTGTGGGAGAATTTCTTGAGACTCCCGCGCCGGAGGAGCTCTCCGAGCGACTTGGGCGCAAATCGGAACACAACATGATAAACAGTATGATATATATATATATATGAATATGTGTGTATATATATATAGAGAGAGAGAGAGATTTTTAATACACATGTGTATATGCATATGTATTTATTCATTCATGTATTTGTTTGTCTATACTATGATGCAGGTACTATCGTTGTTGTGTTTGGTTGAACCTGGTATGTGTAGTTGTTGCTTGTTGTGTTGTTGTTCGTTTTGCGTGTTGGTTATCGTTGGCTTTCAACTTTCGTTTCTCGGGCTTAGGCTATTAAACTCTAAACCCTAAACCCTAAACCGGTTCGATTCTGAGGATTCGCGTGGAGGTTTCATCTTCGCAATTTTACTCGCCGGGGATCATTGGTCCGAGATGCACTTGAAGGGATTCTGTCTTGAGGGTTGTTCGAGCATGGGTCTAGTTTGGGTACGGCCCCCATACAGTAAGTTTTTTTTTAGGGCTACTATTAAGGTCCTAATATATCTATATTATGAATATTTATTCAACTATTACTGGGAGGTCTAGTTCGGATTCGAGTTGGGGGTGCGGTTTGTAGGTGCTCAGGTTACCCATATAATATAGGCCCCATGATAGTAGTTAGTTCCTTTTCGGGACTACCTTATAGGATTCTACATATGAACCCCCAAAAAGGAACTGCTATGGGGCCTATGCGTAGTCATGGGTTCGAATGATTCGAGTGAAGGGTCTTGAGGGGTGCAACATTCGGGCAGGACTATGCTACAAGAATCCTACGCCCTAAGCCAGGATTCTAAGATCAACCCTCTAAGCGCCCAAGCCGTACCAACGCTTGTATGCCCTATAAACCGCCCTCTGAAGGCAGAATTTGCCAGCCTTTCCCTACAGCTATACCCTGAAGCCGTAAACGGCCCTAAATTAATTTAAACCCTCGAAAACTTACACCATCAACTGTTCTAAAGACCCAATTGATCCGAGGATCATTCTCTCTGCAGCGACGCTATCGAGACCCTTTGCGCCCGGCCTGAGCTACGTGCATGCCAAGGCTTGGGGGATTTGCCGGGGGATAGGGCTTCTGGTCTGAGTTGCATAGGCTTTACGTTGTTTGGTTTTTTGCACTCCCTTTCTCTTTGAATTTTTGGTCCGTAGTTACCCCAAAATCAAAACTGAGATGAAGATGCATTCTGGACCTAAAGCTTTGCGTGGAATGGTGTTTGGGGCCCCCCAACGGCTGCAGAATCCTCAGACAATCAAGGCACAACCCTGCGAACCCTGATCCCTCTGGCTGGACCCTCGATCCTGCCCTGACATTCCAAACGCTTACAACAAGGGCTGGGCTCCAAAACCCTAACCCTAAAGGCTTACAACTTACAAGCGCTAATCCCTGAAATCCTGAACCACAAGATGCAACAACCACCATCAACCTAAACCCGACCCCTCTGAAATCGTACACCCTAAACCCTTTAATCTTAAAACCCCTGAAATCTTAAACCCTACTATAAACCCTAAATCCCGAAACCCTTAAAATCGTAAGCTCTATAAACCCTAAACCCCAGCTGGACCTCGCTCCCGTGAGTCTGCACCCAGAGACTCCAAAACCCCTTAATTAAGGAATATACCTTAAATTATAGTAGGATCCCTAATATGTTTTAAGGAATATTCCTTAATTAAAGGGTTTTGGAAGCTCTGGGAAGGACCTGCGGACTTTCTGCTTCACCGGCCACTACGGCAAAGCCTGGGGCTCGGCTCTGACATGCACGTCCCCAAGTTGGAGGTTTATAAAGGGTTTAGGGTTTAAGGTTTATATAGGGTTTAGGGTTCAGGGTTAAGGGTCTATACGTGGAGGTTCAGGGGTAGTTATCAGTGGGGTTATAAGATCCCTAATATGGGATTCAACTATAGATATCCGACTTATAACCCCACTTGAAACTACCCATGAACGTCCCCAAGTTGTAGAATTCGGGGCGTGCTGGAGGAGCACTTCCCCAGTAATGCCCTGTAACATCCTGTTGTTTTTTTGATAACTATTTAAAGCCGTGATACATCAGGGTTTAGGGTTGAGAGCTTGGGGTCTCACTTCGTCGCCGGTAACTTCCAAACTGCAAGGCTTCATCTGCCAGAAGCCCAAACCCAAACAAAGTTGCTTTTAGCCGCGCGCAGTGGGTCGGGAAGGGGCAGAAGCAAATGAAACTAAACCCTCAACCCTTAAAACCTGAAGCAGACCCGAGCTGAATAGCAGCAGACGTTTTAGCGAGATCTCGTTCAACGTTACAAAGCCCGAGGTCTGCAAAGACTCCCCCCCAAGTGGACACTTAACCCCTACGCCCAGCCGAAGCCTTAGTTTCTCTAACTCTCATCCCCTGTCCGATCAAATCCCAATTTGAGGACAAAAAGGCTGTAGAATCGTGACTGTCTTCATTGAAGGATGGGGACCCAAATTCCAAAGCCCTGTTCTGATATGCTGTAATAGGGTCTCCTTTACACTCTTACAGGGTGTTACAGGGATCTACAGTGAGGTCCCCATTAAAGGCCATTACCGGGTTCTATACTGAGGTTACCTTAAAGGGCTCTACAAAGCCAGACCGATCTCTGGGCATCCTCAGGTCCTGCACAAGTCCAGTGGCTCCTTGCTTTTGACTTCCGAGGACGGTTTGGGTCAAGCCGATTTTTCGTAGGACTCATGACTTTGAGGTGTATTGTGCCTAGCTTGGTTCGGTGCATTTAGGGTTAAGGGTTTCGATATGCCTGTCAAACGTCAAGACTTGTGTTCAGGTTAGAGGCTTGGGATAAACTCCAAAATCGAACTTCCCCCCAACACAACACCCAAATCCATGACCTCACAAGTCCCTAACCAGAAGAGACAACCCCAACCCCTAAATATTATGGATCCTAAGCCAGGATCATGGCTCGAAAACACTCAACGCAAAACCACTATAAACGGCACACAAATTTGCAGCATGCTGCAGCAAGCAAGGAACACGAAGCACATGGACTCGACACGTCACTACATGCAATCACACGGCGCTTTTTTCTGCTAAGTACATACACACGTACAAGTGTAGGTTGTTTTGTTGCTGAATAAACGTGGGACAGTGATCTTGTAAATAGCAGTATCAGAAGCGCACACCTCAGTCATTATATAGCGGTATGTACAGCCCACAGGAACAACATATCATTGTCATCCAATTAGAGATGTTTTTTAGGTTGCCTGCATGTGCATATGTACATGTAAGTAAGTATATATATATATATATATATATATATATATACACATTTCGTACACATGTGTGTTTGCATACTTCAACCCAAAGTTGTAGAGATGGAGCGAGAGATTCACAACTACGCAGAAACAACGAACATTCGCAGAACAGCACCCTAAACCTCAAGGATCCTTTAAACTGGTGGAAATCCTTTACACAGAAACAATGCTAACCCACATAAAGCACTCCTGAATACAAAAAAGCGACCGAACCCTAAACCCTAAGACCCTTAAAACCGAAAGCCCTAAACCCCTAAACCCTAAGACCCTTAAGCCCAAAGACCCTTAAACCCCAAACCCCTAAACCCTCAACCCCAAACCCCCAAAACCCTAAACCCAAAGACCCTAAACCCCTAAACCCGAAACCCTAAGACCCTTAAACCCCTAAATCCTAAGACCCTTAAACCCTAAACCTTAAGACCCTTAAACCCTAAGACCCTAAGACCCTTAAACCCTAAACCCTAAGACCCTTAAACCCTAAAACCTAAGACCCTAAGACCCTTAAACCCTAAACCCTAAGACCCTAAGACCCTTAAACCCTAAAACCTAAGACCCTAAGACCCTTAAACCCTAAACCCTAAGACCCTTAAACCCTAAACCCCAAACCCCCAAAACCCTAAACCCAAAGACCCTTGACCCCTAGACCCCCAAACCCTAAACCCTAAGACCCCAAAACCCTAAACCCTAAGACCCTTAAACCCCTAAACCCCAAACCCCTAAACCCTAAATCCTAAGACCCTAAGACCCTCAACCCTCAAACCCTAAACCCTAAACGCCTAAACCCTTAAACCTAAGACCCTAAACCCTAAGACCCTTAAACCCTAGACCCTAAGACCCAAAACCTTAAACCCAAACCACCTAAACCCTAAGACCCTTAGACCCCTATACCCTAAGACCCTTAAACCCTAAACCCCGAAACCCTAAATCCCCAAAACCCTAAACCCAAACCCCCTAAACCCCAAGACCCTTAAACCCTAAATCCCTAAACCCGAAACCCTAAGATCCTTAGGCCCTAAACCCTAAGACCATTAAACCCCTAAACTCCAAACCCCCAAACCCTAAGACCCTTAAACCCTTAAGCCCTAAGACCCTTAAACCCTAGCTACTATTTGCTTAAGAACCCCCAAAAAATAAAAAATATATTCCTTATAGGGATAATAAAGGGATTATCATTTTTTATTTTTTGGGGGGTTCTTAAGCAAATAGTAGGCAGCCAGGAGCCGTTGGATCGCTCCCGGCCCGAGGCATCTGCAGGCTCCGTGCGGTTCTTTAGCCCCAAGGAGCCGGAAAAATGGGGGGGGTTTCTTAAGGTGCCTGAAGAGAGCTCCTTTAAGAGTTTAGGGTTTTAGAGTTTAGGGTTTAGGGGTTTAGAGTTTTAGGGTTCAGGGTTTTAGGGTTTAAATAGGGTTTTGGGGTTTAGGGGTTCAGGGTTTGGGGGGGTGCCTATAGGGTTCCTTTAAGGGATCCTTTTAGGGGTGACTATAATGGTATCATAAGGTTTGAGGTTAAAGGGGTTCAGAGGTTGAGGGCTTAGTTTTGGGGGCTTGGGTTTTAGGGTTAAGAGCTCCAAGGAGCCGGCTGCCGCGTCGGTTTTTCTCTCGAAGGATGTTAGGGTTTGGGGTTCAGGGGTTTGGGTTTAGGTTAGGGGTTGCCTCTAACATTAACTAGCACCCCTTTGTTACAAGCCTCGTGCAGACCTTAATGCAACCCTTAACCCCACCTTAAAGCAACCCCTAACCCTTAACAGCCTTACAGCAACCCTTAACCTAGCCTCTCCAAGCCGGAAAGCAAACCTTAACTTATATAGCCTTCTCCAAGCCACCCGTGAGACCACCTACTTCTAGGGGGCTCCTCCAAGGCCCGAATAAGGCAACCCTTGGCCCTCTCCGGGCCGCGTAGCGCAACCCTTAGCTCCCGGAGCTCAGGGTTGTACTACCGGTCCCGGCTAAGGGTTGCACTACTTAAAGGGTCATGGGACTTAGCAACTAGGGTTATAATTAGTGTAACTATACCTATAATTACTTATAACCCCAATTAGGGTACTTATAACCCTACTTACTAAGTCCCATGATCCTCCAAGTACGATTCTCCCCAAACTAGGGCTCGTTATACGATGCTTATCCCGGGCCGGGTAGTGCAACCCTTGGCTCCCGAGCTAAGGGTTGCGTTATCCGTGCCAGGGAAGGGCCCGGGAAGTTTTCAAGGGTTGTTTTAAGGTCCAAAGGCCGCATTGGGCCACACGACGTATTCACCAGTTCTTCGTAGTCTGAAGGTTAGAACCCCAACGTGTGTACCTGTGCCACGCTGTTCGGGGAATACAAATGTGTGGGTGTGCATGTAGATATCATATATGTATACACACATCATGTTGTATATGCAGATGCACGCACTTGCATTTGCGTGTATGTGCATACATACCTAGGCTGCATACATATGCACATATATGGAGGAGAATGAGTTTGAGAGTGTGAGAGAGAGAGAGAGAGAGAGAGAGAGAGAGAGAGATCTCGAGCCTTCCAGGAGATCCTCAACTTCCTGGGCTTTCCTCGCTCCTACTCGCTGCCACCAGATATGGCGCTGCGGCACAGGTACAAGGCGCAAAGTTGTAGTCCGAAGCCCTGAACCCTAAGCTCTAAGCTCTCAGCCCTAAACCCATCTACACCCTAAGCCGTAGCGATGCATGACCTCTCTTACATGAGCTTCAGGCAGCAAATGGTACGAGTCTTCGTGGCATTGACATTTTCTGACCCACCTTACAAACCCAAAACCCTGAACCCGCCCTAAACCCAAACTGAAATCCTAAGCCCACCCTCAACCGCAAGCCTTATGTAAGACCCAAGCCATAACACTCAGCCGGGTAAGTAAGCCGTCAGGTGGTGGGCAACTCCATCGCGGTCACCGTGGCATCGGAGCTGCTTCGCCTTCTTCTTCTCGGCCAGGCACAGTGTTGACACCTGTCGCGTTGTTACATTCCACCCTAAAGGCTTTAAGGGTTCAGTTTTAGGGTTTGGGCGAAACCGAGGCCAGAATTCCAACATCAACCCCTGAATTCGAATCTCTCTTCATATGTGTTGTTCTCCTAATTAGGGTCTTTTTTTTTATTACGGTGCCGTACTTTTTTGGTGGCCTAAAACAGGACCCTAATTTAGACACCTACCCATATGTATATTCCAGAGGTTTCGTTGGGCATCGAAAACTCCAAACTCGTGCAGGGCGCCGCGGACCTCGCCCAGATGGAGCAGCCTCCTCCGACCAGGAGTTGCGTTTGAGGGTCCATGGTTTAGAAGGTTTAGGGTTTGGGGTCTATAAGGTTTATAAAGGGTTTAGGGTTTAAGGCTTATATAGGGTTTAGGGTTCAGGATTACAGGTCCATACTTGGAGGCTCATGGGTAGTTATATATATATATATATATGTGGGGTAGTAAGTCCCCTAGATTTAATATGGGTTATACGTTATAAGTATAGTCACCCCACTTATAACCGCCCATGAACCTCCAAGTGACGTGTAGAGAGGCAGCCTGAACCCGGAACTCCCATTCCGACTACACACTCTGGTCCCTGAAAACTCTGATCTCGCCCACCCACTGAGATTCCAAAGGCCTTGTTCTCAAAAGTCCTACTGCGTCGTGTGCTTTCAGAGTTTAGAGGCCAGGGATGGTTAGGGGTTGGGCTTTAAGATGCAGGTTGGCCTCTTCATCAGTGTGCCCTGCCAGCGTTTGAGTGAACATCAACGGGTCTGCTCGCAGGTGCCTGTGTAGCTGTAGGTAGGTGGGCAGTCAGGTAGCTAGCTGTGGTGAAGACTACGTGCTCAGCAAACCTATACTCCTCTTGCTCTTGACACCACCATCCAGAAACCAAGCTCGCCTCTTCTACTGCGGTATGGAAGTTTCAGAAAATAGGGGACCCTAATATGGTACCCTAAGTAGTCGGATCCTTGTTATAAGGACCCCAATTAAACAAGTAACCATAATCTTCGGAAACTCCCACATAACCCAAAGGGTCCAAAGTACCCATATAGTAGAATGTAGGGTTTCTATATTAGGAATTACTATTATGATTTGGGGAAGTATTCCCCATAACAGTACCTCGGACCCTTTGGTAAGCATCCTCGAACCGCGAGGCACGGCCAAGAGATCCTGGCCTTAGACGTCCACACAGTCTCGAAGTCTTCATTGCTTATCTGGTACCCTTGTAAGGGCCCATGTACCCAAATTTTAAAGTAGCAAAGTATATACTTTCGGCCCGATGTACCTATATAGCGAGTACTTTAAGGCCAAAGTATATACAACTTGTGTACATGGACCCTCAGGGGTAAGCTCTGATCCCCTGGCAACTCCTCGCCAAATCTTAAACCCTACCCCCTAAACCCAAACTCTTCCTATTCCCGGGTCATCGGGAGGACTGGCCGCGGCAACTGAGATCTGACCCTTGCTTCCTGTCCCAAAGGGTCCAAGTATCATTATAGTAGGTACTTAGTAGGTATTTGGGCCCCCAAAGTATATACTCTACTATTACTTGGACCCTTTGGTTGTTCCAGGAGTCGAGTGAAAAAGGTGTTGGCAAATCTGCATTGCGTGCACGTGAATGTGATATTGGTTCGCTAAAGCTCCATGTGCCCATATAGTATATACTTGGGCCTTAAAGGGGTTCCTATATAGGTACTTTGAGGCCTAAGTGTATACTATGTGGCTACCTGGAGCCTTCGGGGTTGCAGTGTGGCTGCGGAGGTGGGTATGGCTGTGGGAAAGCAACGTGGGGAGAGGTTTCTGCTTGGACAGTCAAGCATGTTCATGAGGTTTTCCGCAAGGCAGCTTACAGTAGTCAGCGAGAAGATATCCTCGTGTTTGCTGAAGGTCCACATGTCTGGAATATCAATCTTAAGCCTCCGCCTCAGCCTCAACCTTGAACGACACCCTAAACCGGAAAAGCATCCTGGAAAGCTACATATGAGCCTCAAGATCACTCTGCAACTGAGCTTGGTTTGGACTGTGTGCTTCCAGTTGTTGCTTTAGGGTCTTAGGTTCTTAGTGTGAAGGGTTTAGGGTTTACGGCATGTTGCAGCACCACGCAGGCCTGGCACTTCACCGGCTGCTGAGAAGGCAGAGTTTGGGACTTGGGCACTGGTGTAGGAATGCTTTCAGGCTTGCAATTATCAGGTTACCTATAGGATTCAGCTGTCAAATGAAACGGGTTTTGTGCCATGACTTTGTAGGATTTCACAGGCAAAACGATGCAGAAAACATGAAAAACAAAACAAAGCGGATGAACTCCCGCTCCAGAGCTTGTATCTGCGGTTTGAAGCCCTAAGGAATACCTAGGGTTTCGTTAAGGGATCTATAGGGTTTGGGGTTTGAAGCCCTGACTTTCATGGTTATTCCTTGTCGTTGAGTCTTGCGAATCGAGGCCGAGCTTCGTCTTACTCTCGCTGAAGCCTAAACCCTGAAGCCTAAACCCTATATAATCCCTATAAACCTTAAGCCCTAACCCCTAGAAACTCTATGCCCTAAACTTAACCCAAATCCTTATAATCCCTCTTCCCTAAACCCTAATCCCTATAAGCCCTATTCCCTAAACCCTAATCCCTAAACCCTATTTCCCAAACCCTTGCAGCACTGCTGTCAAATCGACGCGTCGGTTTTCGCCTTTTTCGTCATGGCTCGGCGGATCGATTGTCGGCACCTTCGAGTTAACAACGCATTAAAGGTTTTGGGGTTTAGAGTTTCCGAAAATAAGGGGTATATTAGGGTTCTTTTAAAGGGTTACTATATGGGTACGACAAGAGTCCTTTAAAGGGCTCTAAAAGAGTGTAGAAAATTCGTTATACCTTCTTTTGGGGTTTTTGAGAATAAGGACCGTGCTATTTGGGGTACTATATTTGGACCCTATACATTCATCATGGGCTCCACTGTAGTTCCTTGCTGTGGTTCATATTCAGGATCCTGTAAGGTAATCCCAAAACGGAGCTGCCGACTATGCAGCCTATGGGCAATCATTAGAGACTGCCATAGTAGTGACACGAAGCAAATTTAGCTCCGGCAGTATGTACATGGCATCGTATACAAACTGTTGATAATTGTTCTGGACATGTAGAGCCGTGTGCTACTCGCCTTCCCCACAACCCTCGACTCGAAACCCTGAACCCTTCAGCGGTTCAGGATTTAGGGTTTAGGGTCCTAAACCCTAAACCCTAAACCCTAAGCCTGAAAAAAAAGGCCTGAAGCCTACAAAAGCGTCGCATGGGATGCAGGCCGCCAACGTATCGTCTTCGAGGATGCACCGCGATTGCATGGTTAGTTGGTCTTAGGGTGTAGGGTGTTTAGGGTTTAGGAGTTTAGGGTTTAGGGATGTTTAGGGGTTTAGGATGCACCGCGATTGGATGGTTATTTGGGTTTAGGGTTTAGGGTGTTTAGGGGCTTAGGATGCATCGCGATTGGATGGTTATTTGGGTTTAGGGTTTAGGGAGTTTAGGGGCGTAGGGGTTTAAGGGTTCAGGATGCACCGCGATTGGATGGTTATTTGGGTTTAGGGCTTTTAGGGTGTTTAGGGGCTCAGGGGTTTAAGGTAAATGACTGCGGGTCACCAGAGCTTCAAGCAAGGAGAAGAGCCCCGAGCCTGAAGCCCTCGACCCTAAGCCCTGCAGCCCCCAAGGCCGCAACGTTTAGACTGAGGCCTGAGACCTTGCTCCCATACGCTATACCCTAATTTATATATATATATATATATATGTATATATGTATATAGATAGAAAGTTACATGTATATAGATAGGTAGATAGATAGTTATATAGTTATGCGTATATGTCCCCAAACCGTGATCTACTGATAACGCCACATTGTTAGAGCTTAATGTGTATAGAGTGTAAAGCACTCCTCCCGTCTGAGTGTAAAGCATTCGGCACCAAAGTCGTCGAATTGCAACCAAAATGCCACGGGCTAAGGTTATTGGGCTGGTGGCCCGGCTTTTTGGGAGTGTTTTGGTTTAAGGGTCCATGATCCATATGAGTCATATGAGAATACATTGACCCTAAAGTACATATGTAGGGACTACTTTAAGGCCTAACTACATGCTATATGGGCACATGGTCCCTTAGGGTTAGAGCTTGAGGAATTGCGGGTTCTTTCTCTCAGGGTACCAATGCGACCTCTGCCAACTTACAAAATTGAGGAAGTCGTGTCAAAGTGAGCGATGGAGAACTTCTCACTGCTTGGGTAACTTTGGCGTTTTGTTTTTTGAAGGCCACATCTCAAGATCCGTTGACATCGAGGAGAATGGACTACGGTCTTGATCTACTCCTCGTAGTCATGGCCTGTGTCGTTCTACCATCTGGACGGAGGATTGCTACGTCCGCCACCCTTGTGAGGGCGACAGTAGCCCATCTCGACTCTCCTTTTGACTCAGGAGACGACTATCGTGGGGGGGCATTTTACGTTCTTTTCATCGATGGCATCCGCCCTCAACATGGAGGCTCCAGCAGTCGCTACTCCGACATCATGTGCGGAGACGGCAACCACATGCCCAAGACTTGGATGACACAAAAAGCTTGGCCGGTGAGTTCGTGAGCCTGCCAGCCGCTCGGCAGAGGATACAGCACCGGTGACACATGCCAATCCTGCCAAACAAACTGGTATGACCAATCGAGAAGCATTTGACTCAAGAGCTTTTTGGAATATACAACACACCGTTCCGCATGCCTTTGAGGAAGCTTTGGTCTGCAAGTTTCACATCAATTCACTCTCTAGGTCTCTATTGCTTCAGATGCACCATCGCTAAGACATAGTAATGGGCGCAGCCTCACTGAGCTTATTATGAGTATGTGTTGAGCACCCCGATGCTAGTATACTTTCTCTTTCAAAGTGTTTTGGCTGAAACCTTCGTACCGTCGAAGCCAGACTCTACCACGACGGTTTAGGGTTTGGGGTTTAGGTCTGGCTGCAGTGACTCCTAAGCTAGAAATCACTCCAGCGACTCCCACCTGCAGGATAACCAGGAAGTGGGGTTCAGATGGGAGTTTCCGAGAATAGGGGACCCCCAATGTAGTACCCTAAACAGTAGGATCCTCATTATAAGGAGCCCCAAATAAGGTGGACATGCCATCGCCTTTGTGGGGAGTAGTTGCACAGATTTGGGTTGGTTTCAGGGCTTTAATCCCGAGACCCATACCGATAACCAAGAGGCAGAAGCTTAGCAGCCGATCAAGCACCTCGAGCACATCCGCTGGTACAGGACGCAGTGTTGTCAGGGCATTCCGCGTACTACAGTTTTTCGGACTTTAGGGTTCGAGGCTCAGCGTTAGGGGCACCTGGGCAAAACCCGTCACCAGCGCAGGTGCCGTAATTAAAGCACGGGAGCTAAGGTATGTATGTGCGTATGTATATATATATATATATGTGTGATATGAGGTTTTTGTCTATCAACATTATGGTTTGCTTGCATACATAATTATGAATAAGTAGGACCGGACGTTCCTCAAGTGGGGAAGACAGACACTCTTTTCAGCCTAGCTGCCGTGTCTTGTGTACAGAGTGTATAATTCCGGTGGATCGAAACTAAACCCAAAACCTTCCCTAAACCCTGACCCCAGGTTTTCTTACACTCCCGATGTTCGACCGAGGTTTTGATGTGTGTAAAACCACAGAGCTGTAATGGACACCGTATGGGAATGACGTTGTCTAGGTCCTTTTGGCTACAGTCCAAATCTTTCAAGTGGGGCATAAGCCTTGACAAAGTGTTCTCCTTAAGCCCCAAAGTATACCAGGCTTACTGCTCAACACTTAGTGTTGCCCTGATAGACCCTCAACCAAAAGGCGAAAAGCAAATTTAACTCCCTGAAACCCTCAATGTCAGGCTTTTGAGCAGCTTCATGAAGGGCAGGCAGGTCGTAATCCCGGGTTGCTAGAACTGCCGGAGCCGCTGGGCCTTGACCCTGCTCTTCCGTATGCTGCACCACCAAAAAGGCAGGATATTTTGTGTAGAACTCTGCTTCGAGGATGTTGATGGTCTTGCCGTGTGGGAGTGGTCCTAACCCTCATGAGGCACATACTAGTGACTTACTAGTGGCTTCGTAACAACTAATTAAGATACCCTAATTCAGGCAAGCTTCATGTGGAAGTCTCAGAAGCCAAGGAACCTTGACAAAGACCTTGGGGAGCAAGATCCTTATTGTAAGTAATTACCTGGGAAAAGCGACCCCAGATTCTATTAATCACTCGTCAAATCGTAAGACCCTGTTTATCGTATCGCCTATCTCAGGCCCTAGATAACCCTACCTATAGTCTTCATTGTAGTTCCTTTTTTGGCTACCCAAAAACTCTATTATAGAATCCTAACCTTAAGATGGGGTAACCAAATAACCAAAGAAAGGAACTACAATGGAGACTATAGGTAAACGGCGTAACCCCTAATTTTCTGACTCCTTCGG